CGTAACCTCGAAATAATCGTTTCCCGGGCGGAACCTTCGAAACTCTGCTAACGTGAGCAAAAGACAAAAATAAGCGTTCTTCGATTGAAACGCAAGAATAACGTCTATAGTGTTCGAAAGTTATAAATGAGAGCTTCCGAGCGATTTTCTCGAATATCGTCTAACGCTCCCGGAACCTCTATACAATGGTTTTCCGTGAGAAACCATCGAAAACCTGCTAACGTGCCCGAAACGGAGAAATGAGCAGTCTCCCAGTGGAACGCAAGAATAACGTCTATAGTGTCCGAAACCTCGAGATGAACGTTTTCCGAGGGATTCTCTCGAATATCCTTTAACGCGCCAGTAATCTCGAATTATTCGTTTCCCGGGCGGAACCTTCGAAAATCTGCTAACGTGAGCAAAAGGCAAAAATAAGCGTTCTCCGAGTGAAACTCAGGAATAAGGTCTATAGTATCCGAAACTTCGAAATGAGAGCTTCCGAACGATTCTCTCGAATATCTTCTAACGCGCCCGTAACCTAGAAATAATCGTTTTCCGGCTGAAATAATGGGAAATATGCTAACGTGCGCGAAACGGAGAAATAAGCTGTCTCCGAGTGAAACCTGGAAGGGTACACTAATTCACAGCTTACTAGGTCAAACGCTTCAACAACGCAAACAGAAAGATGAAAATCTTAGCAATAATTACACGATCACCGGCTTCTCGAAAAGCCCACCGCTTTTTTCACTTGCCTTCCACCGAGGAAGAGTGGTCGCTCAGGGTCGCATATGGTTGACGGCTGACAATTCTTTGCTGTTTCTTGAACCAGTTATTATTCTGTTTCATAAATAGTGCCTATCTGGCATGGTATCGCCTCGCCTCGATCAGTTTAATGGTGTCGTAGATGTCCTTCCTAGCCTGTATAGTCGACTCCTTGGGTATGTTGTGTGCATTTCAACTATCACAGATATATGGATAGTGGATATTTTCATTGAGATAGTGATGAAATAACCACCATCGTGTTGCGTATGTCTACTGTCTGGTTCCACACTATATATATGTTTTTTGAAACATTTGGTTGATTTCTGTCATTTAATGGTTTAGTGTAGGTTTATTATTGCAAGGTCGCGTGTGGCGCAGTGGTTAGAGGCGCCACTACAACATACGTGGGACCGATCCCCGCGCTCATATCCCACCAAGCTTTCCATACCTCCGGAGTCGGCAAATTGGTACCAGACTGGTCGAGGAAGATAGCAGCACTGGCTCAATACATCGATAGGCCACCATGAGTCATTGTAGAGGCCAGATATGCATTCAGTCACCTCCAAACGATGCTTAATGAAGTTGAATGCATGGCGCATCCCTCAGGGATTGATCAACTTTATTCTTTATTTGTCCTTTATTGTTGTAATTCCTTCAAAATTCGTCATTCAGTTAGAGGATAGAGCAGCTACAATCTTATTTTGGGAAAAATCGTCCCAATAACTGCCGTTACTACAACAATTCATGTCTACTGTGCTTGATCAAGTCGAATACTCATCCATCAGGTGATGGTCAACGCCGAGCGCTTCATCCTTTATACTTTATCCTTTTACAAACAATTTTTTGATGCTCCTGAATTTCCCGCGGTGTTTCGGAACTAAAACGTGGAACAAATAGCAGTTGGGACACTTTGTCCACTCAATGTTCAGTCTTAAAGACTATGATTGTTCTTCATTTTAACGATTCGTCATGTTACACATGCGTTTTGGATATCCAGCATGAAAGATTACTATAACTTTTTCAGATGCTTATGCCAAGAACGAAATGAACGCGACGTGGTTTACTATTGGTCCGATACGCTACAATCCCGAAATTGGATTACTTGAATATCACATCACATCTCTGGAACATAGCTATTGTAACGGAGTTTTCCACTATACGATAACCTCGAACTCATCCAGCATCGGTAAACTCGTCTGCAATGCAACTTCCTAATTTTGTTTCGAAGTTTTACGACCGTATTATAACTTTACTTCTTAAGGATTTTTCTTTGCTTCTTTCTCATTTTTTACTCATAACTGCTTTGGGCATTGTGTTTGAGAGTATACCTGAAATTCCATCTATTTCAGGCGACTTTAGTTGTCTTATTGGCATTGTAAACTTGAAGAGAGCGATTGGTTATCACTTAGTGCAGGTGAACATTAGAAGTTCTTTTAAATGTATACTGGAGTTGTGTTCGAAGTGTCCTCTCTCTATGCAGAGTTATATTCCCACAGCTTTGATTTTGATTGTAGCATTATCCTGGGTTTCATTCTGGATTGATCGACGAGCAGTACCAGCTAGAGTATCGCTGTCATTCACCACGTTACTCACTCTCAGTACACAGGTTCTCTTCTTTATAGTAATATAAGAAGCTATTAACCGAATGCCAATTTCCAGATCCTCCCATAGAAAACCTTATAACTAGTTGTTTTGCCAATCTAAGTTTTCTGCCATCGTCAAATAATTCGGGGATTTCATTAGAATCCACATATTTTTCTTTACATGACCTATCTTCATATCTCTTAGATGGATTCCAGCCCTTCTTGCATTCGATTTGTTTTTTCGTGTCTGCCAACTAATAAGGTTTGGCAAAATTTTCCATCTTCGTTCGGTTGCTGTATGAGGAATATCGTGAACAGGGCCCATTAGCTCTCCCATATTTATGGGTAGGCTTGTATCACATTGCCTTGGAGCCAGCTCACTATCTCTGTTTTACATGGAACGTTGTGAAACCCAAGTTACAAAGCTTTTGGTGAAAGCATAATGAATGTGTCCAAAAATAAATGTGCAACTTGAAGATCTGCAGCAGTTATAGAATACCAAACAACCAGCAATTATCAACATTCGAGTTCATTCTATATATTTCTTTTGTCAGGGTAATGGTATAAGATATGCTCTTCCTCCAGTGTCGTATGCTAAGGCCATCGATTACTTCTACGTGGGTAAGGCTCTTCATTTCCGCTAATCGCTGTTTCACAATTTGCGCATTAAACGACTATAGCGCACAAAATCTATTACTATTTAGTATTTTTCCTAAGGTTATTCTATGCAACGCTTTTATCTTCGAGATGAATTCATTTCATGGAACCGAGATTTTATTCGCAGCAGAGCAGACACTCTTTTATTAACCAGTGTTATTCAGCGCAATGCAGATTTTCAGTGTGCATGCTGTTCATCTTCGGTGTTTTGCAAGAATTAGCTATGGTAAATAGTTACATGCGACGTGCCAATAAGTACAATCATATGGCCGAAAAATTACAGAACGGTTATGCCCACAAATATGCCCTCGGTGAGTGTCCCACAAACTAGGCATCGCTATGTGCTATCCAAAATTCGTCGATTTCCTCGAGTGATCACTCATTAGTAATTGATGGTCCCAGCTAATTATTTGTTTCAGCGGCGACTGATTATGAGACAGACTACGAGGAGGGTTCACTGTCAGAGAAATGCTACAAGCGTATCAATAAAAATTCAACGAGTCTAATGTGTAAAGTGTTACTATACTCTCGAAAGGCACTGGCGATTGACAAAACGGCCCAATTGGCATTTCCATGTTAGTTTATTGCTTGTCACATACGAGCAGTAAAACCGTCAATGTAGATTACAACAAAAATCACCTGCCGTTTATAAGCAACAAAAGAGAAGAAAATTTCAGTTTTTAGGGTCCATGTTCAAATATATTGTCGCAATCTAAACGCTTCTTTCATTCTGTTAATTGCTTCACACCCGTCATCCAGCATGCAGCAAAGTCTTGGAATTTCTATATAGGTTCGACTACCAACTGAAGGCTTTCACTTCTTCATGAATGTCTTTGAATGTTGGACCAGTTGATTCCTCCTAGAGTTCTGGGATTAATCTGCTGAAGCGCTCCCATATCTTCGTTAGAAGCTGTCATCCATCTTTATATATCGAAAAGAGGTACTCCCAAACAAGTCGGGCACAAATTTACCAAAATCTTAGAGTTGAAAGGTTCTTTGCCTCCTCGATGGATTGAACCAATGACGATGAGGGTTACTACATGGCGTCTGCGTAACCTTTACGCTTTCAGCGCCTTGTTGAAAAATAGTTTCGAAAACATTTTGACAGGTCATTTAGGAAGATATCGAAAATTAAAGGATTTTGGCTCAGTCGGTAGGTTTATTCAGTTTGAAATGAAATTTCTTGTCACCTTATCACAAAAGGCGTGTTCATCCAGTAGCCTTTTAATGCCATATTTAACAGAAAATTTAAAGAATCATAAAGGTTGTTTGCCTGAGCCTTTTAAACAGCCTTTTTTTTTGTAAACGAACTTGTCTCTTTCAGCAGTGTTTATGCTGTTCAACGTCATCTACTGGATGTATTATATGCAAAATGATCAGTAACGCTGACATGTCTCGATTATTATTAATTGGTTTTTTGACCGGGTCTGTTGAGTCTTTCAAGAAGATATCCACAAAAAGTCAACAATGTTTTATCACTACAAAAGAAAATACGGTGTAGAAGAGGGAAGGATCCCCAGCGGTGACACGATAACGTGCTGTTTTTGTACGTTGACGACAGTGTTTCTTAAAAATTATCCAGAATTCTCTAAGATGGAACTGTTCCTACAAAAATGCACTTTTCGAAAAATTTCTATGTAAAGTAGTTTATTCATTGCGGTGTGTTGGAACCTAAGTCCTTGTCGACACTGACCATCTTTTCATTTTTGTTTTTGGTTGTTCAGAACACAACTTCAGTCAGCGATGTTACTATGAAGAAGTATGGCATTTCCTGGACAGATCCCGTATTCCTCACTTACCGCGATAATGACTCGAAGAAATTGGTGGCGGTGTTACTGGATTCTTCGCAGTGGTAAAATTTTTTGTTAACTAGACATTACTTAGGGAGAGCGAAGGTGTGGTCCACCAACTCTTTGTAGAGGATATATTGTAAATAGGGTGCGATAGTCCAACCGAACTCCTCGAAGGACGTATAAGCGAGATCTGAGCGTTGTCATTCAGAAGACGATCTGTGAGTCTTTTGTTTCTACTTTGCGTCCACGCAACCGACGAGCCGTTGGAGATGCTGTATGCGTATGTCTGTGATAACTGTCCGATTCCGCTCCATCAGGCTGCCATAGAATCCCAGAAGACGCATATAACCAACTTCCGGCCAAATGTGTTGGAGAGCTATAAAACATCATGTTACTCTTGAAGACATTCGGCGCCAATCTTGATCGCTGCTAGGAAGTCTTGTTGGTACTAGTGAAGCAGAGAGAATTCACGATGCTGACTCACACAGACTGGTTATCGTATTGAGAAGTGTTCAACCAGACCTTATTTTGTGGGGCTCTGTCGAGTTATACCCTTCATATATGGCGTTCTATAACGTCTTGTATGTGACAACTCTGAACAAAAACTGACAAGGTCTTATATCCCAGGCTAATAGATCTAGAATAGATGTGTGAGTCATATATGCCTCACAATGTCGTCATTGTCCCAACTTGGCATCGTTGGTGATACAAGTGGTGAATTTTTGCCGAGTTCACTACTAACCCCCAAAGTTTTTGAATAAAAATGAGCAAAGCCACGGGTTTGCGTCCTTTATTCTTAAGATGGAGCCTGTTGCATCATCCAAAGATGATAAACGACAATTCAAGACTAGGCACATTTTCCTAATTCCAAGACGGGTTAATCATTGATATCTGATCTTCCGTTCATCACAGTCAAGTATTCCGACTTTTTTTTATTGTGCTATTATTACTTTTTGATTAAGCAGTGGAAATGGTTACTTCTGTGAAAATTGCTAACTTATAGGTGGTTCATTTGATTTGAAGTAAATGTTGCTTTTAAGTTTGTTATCATATTTTGTCAAAAAATGTACAAGAAACCGATATCTACGTGTAATCACTAAATCCATTTAATAATCTGTCAATTCATTTTACAAAGTGATGTCGTAGGTTACCGAAACCTGGTTGGACGGAACCCGATTGAAAAGAACAACCTATTTCTGTAAATATTCATGTAGTATATAGTAAATACATTGAAAACCTTCTACTTCCGCTATAATCACTGTTCATGCTAGTGGAAAAGCGTAAAGTATCGTTGTAGTTATAGTGATCCATAGGTCCACCTTTTAAATAATAATGGAGCGCGTGTAGCGCAGGAATAGAGATACTGCTCAATAATACAGGTGAGTTTGGTTTGAGCCCGTCCTAGATAGCCAAGTCTCCTATATCACCAACATCGAGAAATTGTTACCGCACTTGTCTAAAAGCTTCCCACGATGCGCAAATGCTGATGACCGCTTGTGGTGAATAAATGGCGACGTCCTAACGCAGCTATCCCAGGATTTTATGGAGAACCTACAGATGACATCACTGAAGTTATAATTCGCAATATACCCTGCCATTAAAAAGAGTAGGCAGTAAATAATAAGTTAGAAACGTGATTATCACTACAGCCTCAGCTTAACTGGGTTTATTGGCGATTTGGGCTCCTCAGATCGACCCTACCGAAGAGTGATTGCTGATGGCATTGATCGATAGAACTAGCTGAGAGACAGGCGAAACGAAGAACCCGCATGGCGCGTGGTGAACGCGTTACTCCCCGGAAAGGCGCGTTCGTCTCTCACCGCAGACACTTGCGGTCCCGAGTTTTGCAAATATCTCGGCATCATTGAAGTTATATTTCGCAATATACCCTGACATTAAAAAGAGTATGCAGTAAATAGTCAGTTAAAACCTACAAACGTTCATGAAAACCAACTCTCATGCAGCAGCCGAATCTATATGAAAATTCGAATGGTTACTTGGATAGTGGACTGACGCGACGAAGCGAACCGAATCAAACAAGTGATGGGACCCACACACTGGGTGATGTTGGGTGTTATAAAATTAAAGCCTTGAGCAGTAATCGCCTTCATTCTCATGCACCTGATAATAAATACAATTATCACGGCAATCATATGTCATCAGTCTACTAAAGAATTTCCATTCTAAAGAGAAATACGTGTAGTAATTGCCTAATTTGTACAGTCATATCATAAAATAAATACTATTACTACCGTAATAAATCTCTAGTCTATGAACAAAACGGCCACCAAGAAGATGACAATTTGACCTAAAACAGAGCTACTTCCGTTCAGAGCGCGATACCAGACTGATTTGTTGCCGTGAATCTTCAATTCTCCACAATCGATGACGTTAGATGTGTTCGCTTCGACAATGAGCACCACCTAGACGCTGACAATTCAGCAGTGAAAGTCGTCTAGCACTGATCAACAATCATTCCATTTCTTGAAAATACTGATAATATCTATGGTAAGATAGAAGGACATGCATGGTGTAGTGGTGGACACCTTAGACCCCGGAAAAGGTGATAACTAGGTACGATCTCTGCCGCAGACACCTGCTGATCGGAGTTCCATGAGTATCTCAGCATCATTGCAGTTACATTTCACAGCATACCGGCCATGAAAAAATAAGCAGTAAATAAAAAAGTGACTGCATTGAGACCTGAGTTCATAGGTTTTGCTAAGTTCATCCATCTTCCCAACGGTTTGCCGCCTCATCATGGCTAGGAGGTGTAGCTGGGTGTGGGATAGCGATGTACAGCGAGGTGTTCATCCACCTGGCATGGCCTCCCAATCTGGGAAGGAGTCCGACGTTTCCATAAAGAAGCCTAGCTAAAAATAAACCAACCAGGAGCCGTCACCGTCCTGGTAGCAAACTAGTCGCATGGTGGCAAATCTCCTTCTGATCCACAGGGGCCGCGACTGCCCGTGGTGGTGAAGACCTGGGAGAGACTTTGACCTGGCTGGCCTCGGGACTCCAGGGAAACACAATGACTAAACCAACAAAACTCCGAAAGAATGGAGATTATGATGGGGCTCCTACAACCAGTGAAGACGTACCATCCAACTATCCAAGTAAGTGTAGTTAAACATCACTTCCCAACGGCTTACCGCCTCATCATGGTCGAGAGGTATTGCTGGGTGTCGAGCAGAGTCTCGCAAGCTGAGAAGGAGTCCGGCCTTTCCATCAGGAAGCCCGGCCAAGAACAAGCCAATACCAGGACCCACCACTGTCCTGATATCGAAGGCGACTGCCTGTAGTGATGACGAACTAGGACAGACTTTGGCTAGGCTGATCTCGAGACTCCGGGGAACCACAATGGCTAAACTAGAAAAAATGGAAATTATGCTGGGACCTGCACCAAGTACCCAAGTAAGTAAGATATCACAATAAACAAATGCAAAACGATAACAACTTATTTCCACCTTGTCAAGAACGTCATCGCTGAGAATATGAAAATCATCGACGTCGATCCACGGCTGAAATTTGTTGATCACACCTTGTATGACCGTTGAAAAAAATCATTGATATCGAATAAATTCTCTCACTTGAACCGCCATTCCTCTGCCATCGCTGTCAATGGTGACCAGCTTTTTACCCAGATTATCTTTAAGTTGAGTGGCTTTGTGGCAAGATGACAACTCAATGTCAGGAGCATAGAAAATATCAAAATTCTGAAAGATGGAAGAACAATGTTTAAGTGACGTTTAGCAAAAATCGACAAGTTTGTGACAGCAAATGAATAATTAACACAAGCTAGGCCAGACCTACAGTATCTAAACAAAAAAATTTCATAGAAATCGGAAGTTCTAGGACACTGCAAAAAAATGTTCTCGTTTGCAAAAAACATGCAATTTAAGTAGAACAGTAAGTACGACTATACCAAGAATAGGAAATTGTTTCCAAGTATGTGAGAAATATAGTAAACAACGGAACACAACATCGAAAAATGAAGGAGATATTCCTCATGTCTAGCTCAAGCGGTGCCCCATAAAATAGGCTAAATTCTTACCTGCTTCTCCTGCAGACCAGTGATGATGGCTAACAGTTTTGGATTTTGTCCATTATGTTGCGCCAATTCCAGAACACCTTCACCACCTTGATATCCAGTAAGCCTAGCCACAAGATGGCCGCCGTCTAAAACCTCATGTTCTCTTCCTGTTTGATTGAAAAGTCGTCCATACCACAACAATTAATTTCAATGATTAACTTATTATCTTCAGTGGTTATAGTTGTTCATTTAATTGTGATGTAAACTTTAGAACCTAGACGAGTGAAGAACAAAGACCCATCTTTAATGAAAATGCAGAGTGTTTGGCGCTGATAAATTTCATACGATCCCATTCGTAGCATCAAGTAGGTGATTGAATGCATTTTTCGTTTACGTAGTGAATTACGGTAGCCTGCCTTGTGCAGGACTACGTTAGTGTTTTCACCCTCCCAGACAAGTATGGTATTAATTCGCCGTCCACATATAGGAACGAAGGGATTGGTGAGAGCTCGAGGGGTGGGAAGATCGAATAAGTGACAATATGTGTTGGAAGACAGTTCTGTAATTTCGAGATGAGATGGTATAGTAGCCATACGGTCATGGATGTCCCAATTTTATCTTAATTTGGAATGCAAACACACTGTCGCTCAGTCCTATAAGTAATTTAGTACAATGACATCGGAAAAAACACAAAACAATGTTAAGTACAAAAGGTGAGAAGATTAAAATCATAAAAATAGAAGCGGCAGAGTACAAGAAAAACAAAATTTGGTTAGTAACATAGAATAATTAATTCATGGATGAACCACAATGAATAAAATCCACGGATCTCTCTTACGGATGGATCTCCTGCCGGTCAATCACGAAACAGCGTGCCGTGCCTCGAGGTGGCAGACCATGTGATTAAGGGCCGACCAAATGCGATCTCGTATTTCCTTGAGAAGGCGGTGGATTCAGGCGATGGACTCCCTGTTTCTGCTGGGCCGATTTGGCATATGCCATTTATTTTTACGACGACGTATTTATGCGCGTCTGCGTGCGCGTGTTTTCGTTTATTTGGATTGTGTCTTACGAGTTAATCCGAGTTAATTCGACCAAAAGCCTTCAATCAAGTGACGGAGAACCATATGGGAGGCGGTTAAGAGCTGTATCTGGCAAACAAGTTCCTGGTCCACTGTGGAAATGTTCTCCATTCCAAAATCCGACATACTCTTTCGTTGGTAAAGAGTCGAACAACACCTTGTCCAGATATGATAAAACCTGAACACTTGAAAAACCTTCCGCCACTCCTCACTATTTCGGTTACAGACACATTACCTGTCAGAATTTAAGCTAACTATTCAGCGGAAGACCAGCAATACCGTGTTGTTCTCCAAAATAGAGACTTTCACAATTATTGGAAACCATAGCCCGGTCAGTTTGCTCTCTGTCACTGATAAACTCTTCGCTCAAGTTATCATAACACGAATTGATAGAACACGAAGAACAGCCAGATGAAAAAGAAGGGTATTGAAAAGGATTCATTACGATGGACCTCACCTCATACCAGTGTTCCTTGAAGTATCACGATATTACAACAGACGGGTCTGTCGCATTTTCATCGATGTAAAGAAAGTTTTTGACTGAGTTGAGATATAAGCGGTCATAGAAGTGGCCAGCGCCTCCCATCTGAGCTTATAAAGATTCTTCGTGAGCTATACAAAAATTTAACAACCAAAATATAACCATTCTACAACGACATTAACACTGACATAAAAGAGGAGTTAGGCAAGGCGATATGATCTCGCCAAAATTATTTATCGCGATCGCTGAAAACGTCATGCTAACTGGAATGGGACAATATTGAAGTGAAAATGGACGGTCTTCAGTAAGAGCATTTTCGCTTGACGTCATTCTTATGACACCAAACTTCAGCCACACGAATGCTATTCGACTTAGGTAACGTTTGTGGAAAGACTGGTCTTCAACTGAAACTCACAAAAAAGATGTCCATGAGGAACGAATTGGTTTCGTATACCCCATTAACGCTCAACGGAATGAATGCCTCCGAATGCTCCAGTTACGTCTATCTAGCTCGGGAAGTCTAACATAGCGAAAGAATTAGCTCCAGGATTGAGCAGGAAAAGGTGAGCAGAATTGGGAGCTTCCAAGAACATCGAGGGTGTTGTGAAGAAAACAGAGAACACCCAACTCCTTGCACACATCTTCGTCTCCATGATTCTTCCTGGCTCAATGTTCACGTGAAAAACTTGGTCTCTACGTAATCAGAATGAAGGATCACTCAGTGTAATGCAACACATGGTCGAAAGGATGATGCTACGTGAACATAATATAACATGCATAACCTGTAATATGCAAGTGAGAGAACAGATCCATCCTAAAACAACAGACAAAAGTCAGCGATTCCGCTGCATATGCCAAAACTGTTGAACATAGGATGGGCCGGACACGTCATGCGTATAAGCGACAACCTATGGACGGTAGTTGTAAGTGAGTGGATTCCTCGGAATATCAAGCGCACTGCAGAAGACCATCGATCCGATGGTCGGAATTCTTCACGAAAAGACAAGAAGAAAGACATGATGCTCAACGCGTCCGTAGAGCGAACAAAACCCACTAGGCTACTTTTGAACGAGAAAGGGAGAAAATTCACTCCTACTGGCATCTACTGGAGTCACTTGATGTTTATAAAGACGACAGGCAACACAAGTGAATAAATTCATTAACGAAAGAATGTAATGTTACCAATAACAGCGTCTTAACTTTTAATGCTTGTTCTTTCGTCTTGGCAAGGTACAATCCCGAAGTACAACCACGAGGATGCTGAGATATGAACAAAACTCGAGACTGCAGGTGAGAAAATCAAAATAATGGCCTCGCTTTGAGTAGAAGACAGCACGTGAGCACGTGGAAAAAGTAATCTTGGGTTCGAAGCTCTGTTGACATCCAAAGTATTGATTATATCATAGCACCCTTGTGGTTTTGCTGCCGACAGCATTTTGTTTTAGGCTCTCTTAGAAACAATTCTTTTTTTGGCTAATGAGTCCAAAGCTCTACATTTTCGTCCACGATAGGGTGCTCTACACCGACTTACTTTATTTGGCTCCACATAGAATTTTTCGAATCTTGTCCCGATACTTCATGTACAGTATGTCTTGTGGCTATGCGGCTGATTGATATGGCTGACTATTAAAATCTCAAGGGTTCTATTAATTGAGGAATCTCGAACCACTCAGTCTCACGGCAACGTGACACTTCATCAGTGAGGACTGGTAGTTTATTCACACGAAAAAAGATAATTTGCTTGCCGTGAGATGTCGCGGGATTAGGGAGATCGACTCCCCGCCGCTGGAATGATACATGCTCTTTGTAGGCAGGCAAAAGGACTCGGTTTGTTAGTACATAGTCGAGTCATTGGTTTACTTATCCAAGGAATCGTTGCCGTCTGGAAGAATCCTATCCAAAACGCGGCAAATCTCTCGCCGACAGGGATTTGCGACTGCCTATGTTGAAGACTAGAGAACATCCCAATATGGTGATATTGTGATAACAAGAGGTACTCATTTCAACCAACATGTTCATGGTTTCGGGAAGAAGGGAAGACAACAAATCCTCGGGCTGCAACAGAACCCTGCACGAACCATAGCATTTTCATAGACGGCGACTTCAATACAAAGAAACAAGTATGAAATAAGGGGCTATGTATCAAACTTCTGAGCAATGTCAATTACCACGACGCTCATGAAAAAGCTAAGATGTCAAAAACCAGCTGGATTGAATACGTGATCTGCCCCAACGACAACCGATGAGAAACGCTAGCAAGATGACGCTAAAGATATCATACGTACAGGAGGAATGCCACCCATTGGTTAAACCTCCTTGTGGAGATCTTAGAAAGAAAATGTAATGATTTTCGCGCACAGCGAGACATACTCAACGTTCATATTACGAGTGAAATTACCAACTCCGGGCTAGCTTCATCGTTAAGGTAAAGAACTGCTTGAGAGAAATGCAAATCAATGGTCTCAGTGGTGCAGTGGGTAACACGCGAGCTCCAGGAAAGGGTAATCGCACGTTCGAATTGGGTCTGGGATTTGAGCTTTGTAAATATCTCAGCATCATTGTAAATGTACTTCACATAAGATTCTGCCATCAAAAAAATAATGGGAAGAATAAAAATAAAATAAAATGAAAAAAACCAGTGCATTGTGACTTCGACTGCATCCTCAGCTTAACTAGGTTCAATGCCAATCTGTGCTCGTCGAACTATTCCCATTGACGGATGATTGCTGATAACACGATGGGGTAAAAGCAAAGCTATGCTAAGAGAACGACAAACCAAGAACTTCAATAGTGCAGTGCGTGACACGTGATCCTCCGGAAAAGATGATCGCGTGTTCTCATCTGGTCTGAGGTCTACGGTTGCAAATATTCAGCGTTATAGTGATTATGAGGAACAATTATATGAGCCAAAACAAACCACCAACAACGAAGCGACTTCTGCAGAGTTCTTAATGGCCGCTCTATACCCTGACAAATAAGCTCTACAGAGAGAGAAGTCAATGAAGCTAACAGTACTATCGTACTCTGTGCCTAAGTCTTTTAGGACTATGTGTCGATGTCCTCCTAATGGTTCATCGCCTCATGGTGGCTAGGTGTATCTGGGTGTCGGGCTGCAGTGCGCAGTGGAGGTTCACCATCCAGCAAAGCCTCCCAAGCTGAAAAAGAGTTCGGAGTTTCCATCAGCAAGCTCAGCGAAGAGTAAACCAATTCCAGAATCCACCACCATCTTGGTATCGAATTAATCACATGGTGGCAAATCTCCCTTTGATCCATGGGGGCGACCACTGACTGGGATGTTGAAGAATTGAGAAAGGTTTCGCCTAGACACATTTCAGGACTCCAGAAAACCACATTGGCTAAACCAGCAAAATTTCTGCTTCCTTACAAGACACACTGAAGACTCGCTTATACTACTTCCGGCGGTGAGACAACCAATCAGGGCAATGAATTCTCCAGTTGCACAGGATGTCATAGAAACGGACAAATGAGCACACCCACGACACGCCATGGAGACTTCTTCTTGCTCTGCACCTATAGAACCAGAACATATGCTTTTCTTCATATACTTACCATTACGCTCTTAATGAAGCTATGTCACACATCAAATTCCATCTGACTGTATAGAGAACATTCTT